ACCAAGAGTAATTTAACTTTCTTACCCAGTGGAAAATATGAATAAATGCTTTTAAAACAAAAGCAAGGAGAGACATGTATGTATTTTAAAAGATGGATTTGTTAAAATGCCTTTTCATCCTCTAAGTATGCAAGAAATATCAGTCTTGACTTAGATATTAAGAGAGGTATTAGTGGCCTCTGCTAAATTTAAATGTTTTCTGTGAGGGAAAATGGGCCATTTGAGTAACTTCGTGTCATACAAAATTTTAGCATTTGCTTCTGTTTATTAATCTCAATAGTCCTGTGAAGAAAATTGATTATGCCCATTATTCAGAAGGTGATACTGAGGCCCAGAAAGATTAAAGCACAGGCAAATCATTTACCTATGGAGATTTCACAAAATATTCATGTCCTGGAGCCATACCCTGAGATTTTGATTAAGTAAATCTTAGGTGGGGTCTGCTGTTAACTTTATAAAAGGTAGATGTGTGATTCTGATGTGGGCTCAACATTGAGAACCTCTGGGCTCCTTGGAGTTGCCCAGGTTGATATAGCTAGGAGGTAGTCTGCTTGGAGGAAACTCAAGGCTCTTGGTGACTTGCAAATTCAGGAACATTTTCCTTCCACATGACAACCCACGTGAGCTCTAACATTCTCTCAGTCCAACTTGTTGTTCTAACCTTGTGGTTCTCAAAGCATGGTCCTTGGACTAGCAACATCAGGATCACTGGGAAATTGATTAGAAATACAAATTCTCTGCCCTACCCTGGACCCAGTGAGTCAGCAAGTGCAGGGGCTGGGCCTATCCACCTGTGTTTTAACAAGCCCTCCATCTGATTCTGAGGCAGCTACAGCTTGAGACCCACAGGCCTATGGAAGTGGGATAGAGGATAGATGGGTTTTCATGGCAATAAGGTGCTAAAACCAGCACACATGCACACACACACACACACACACACACACACACACACATGCTGTGCACACTTGCACACACACACCTGGAAAAGACCCTGCCTCTGGGAAATTAGTACTAGGTGTGGAGGGGCAGAATGAGTGTGAGAAGTAATGGGAAAAGGAAGAGTCCACAGGCGTCTGGGGAAGTATGAAGAAGCCAGGGCTCCACAGAAGAAAATGGACCTCACCAGCATCCCAATATGAGCATCTGCAAACTTAATTTGCCCATGGGCAGCCCTGAAGTTGTTAGCGGAAATTTGTGCATCCCTTCACTGTGCTGGCAAGTCAGAGGGGTTTGTTGTTGATGTTGTTTGTTTGTTTGGCTATTTCATTTTTTGCTTTTAAAAGTTTTTTGGGTTTTTTTTTTTTCTGAATCAAGCACTTTGTAGAGATGAACATTCTTGTGTGGTTAAATGAGCCCCCTTCTGCTTAGAGCCAAAGTCACATTCTTCGCTTTGATTTGATCCCAGGTGCTCCTTTTTAATTGCATTTTGTATTCAACTGTGTAGCCATCCCCTTCCAGGAGAGGGCTGGCCCCCTAATCACCACAGTTCTTTTGCCCCTGCAGCTGGGACTTCAAAGGCCCCAGAAGTCATATTGTAATGTGAGCTCCAAATTGTCCCTGAGAAGGAACCCAGACAGGCATCCTCAGTCAAGACTCATCAAGGGGAAGGGATACCTCGGTGTGGCATGGGGTGAAAGAATGCAGCCTTATCCTCAGTTCCTCTTGGAGCCACCCCCCCCCCGCAAAGTACCACCATTCCTAGTCTGAAAACCGCAGTAAGACATATGTAATTCAAGGCTGCCCAACAGTTTCCCAGAGATAGGGGACAGGCATGTATGCCCAGGAAAAAATGTTTGTTTCAAGCAAACGTTCACAGCGCCAGCTGCCAATGGGAGAAGAAAAACAGAGAGGAGGACACCCACAGGCTGATATGGGAAAGTATAAACAACTGTTCCAGGCTCTGCTGAAAGGCTCATGTTAGGTGAGATCACATCATCTGATTTGGGTGTTTTTTTAAATATATAATTACTGGACCTATAGACTGTAACTGCAAAGCACATCCTGTTTCTAGAATGGGTGGGACTATGTGAGCTCATGACGGTTTCAAGTTGGCATTTTGACATTCAATTTGGACTCCAAGAGTTAACAAGAGCAGGCCCTGCTTTAAATAGTAGTTTAATTTTAACTTCCAAAGCACAGTCTCTGGAAGCAGATGGGGTAACTTGTGTCTCTATTTTCTTTATTTAGCATGGAGTTAATATAGAATATTGATTCCTAATGTGGGAATTTTGTGGGTGAAAAACTGGGGTTAGCTTTCTTGGTCAAATCCACAAATTTCTCAAAGTCAGGGAACTATGTCTCCATGATCTTTCTTTAGTGTAAGTTCTAGTTTCTTGAATATTGAGGACAATCAATGCATATTTTGAAGAATAGATAAATGCTGAAAGCCTACTCTTTAGCAGTGACCTTTTAGAGTAAATTAGGAAAGTCATCCTGGCAGAGTTTTCTGGAGATGTAGAGTATTTCCCCCCCAAAAGCCCATCTGCCATTGTGTAAAATGTCACATAAAACACTAGGTGTCAAAAGAAAATGGCAATCGGCTTGCTGCTGCATGGCCTGAGAGGGGCTGCTTAGTTTAGAGACCTTGAACTTCCACAAAGTGAATATGAAAGTGGAGTCTGAAGACCATCCGTGCCCTGGCATATCTTTGATCAAACTGAACCTGCAAAGAAGTGTGGCAGGCTCTAAATGCCGCAGAGACTAACTGCTCAGGAAATCCACGCCAGTGACTTCACTGAACATGTCACATCAAAGGACAGAAATGCCTCACTGGCTGGAAAGTTCTTTTGGTGTTCAATGTTGACAGAGAATAGAAATGAGATTAAATTTCAGTATTTCTGGATTTGGTTAATAGATTCTCTCTTTCAAATATAAGAACTTTAACTGATTCTGTTGCTTTAGTAGAAAAAGATCCAAAAGGTGCATCTAATAATAAGGTCTGAAAGGGAATAAAAATGTAGCTGTAGATAGAGCATCATAATTTTAGAGAAGTTTTTTAAAAATTATTTTCAGCTACCACAGTGAAGATGGCTGCAATTCAGTGCACACACTTCGAAAGGAAGACTTCAGGTTCATAGGAAAATCCAAGGATAATATTTGCAATGCGATTGAAAGACTTAAGCCCACCTCAAAATATACTGCTCTGGAATACTGGCTATTTTGAATTAAAGTCACTTAGGAAACATCAGGTGCAGCCTGGGGATGTGGCTCAGTGTTAGAGCACTTGCCCTAGAAATGTGCAAGACCCTGGGATCTATCCCCAGTCCCCCAACCACATACATAAACACACAAACAAAGAAAATGCCCCCAATCCCAGCAAGTCCAGGGGTGCAGAAAGATCAGTTTGATCTTCATTCTGTTTCTTAAAAGAAGGAGGTAGGGCTGGGGTTGTGGCTTAGTGGTAGAGCACTTGCCTGGCACATGTGAGGCACTAGGTTCAATTCTCAGTACCACATAGAAATAAATAAATAAATAAATGAATGAATGAATGAATGAATGAATGAATGAATAAAAGGTATTTTGTCCCTCCTCAACTAAGAGAAATTTTTTTAAAAAGCAGGAGGTAAAATTCCCATGTGAAAATGTCCTTCTTATATGAAATGCAATAACCTTATTATCATCAATGATGTGAACTTGAAACTGAGAGAGCACTGTGCAGACCTTGTTATAGTAACTCTAATCTTTCAAGCCTCCCTACATAATTTAGTTGCTTTTCACAAATCACTATTCTTTGTCCAATTCAGTATATAAGAGATTGACTCTTAACTGCTTTTCTTTATGAGGGTTCTTCATTCTTTATGAGGGCTCACGTGTCTCATAAAACTTGTATTAGATAAATTTGTATGCTTTTCTCCTCTGAATATATCTTATGTAAATTTAATTCTCAGGCACAGCCAGAACCCTAAGAGGATGGAGGTGGAATTTTTCTACATCGATACCTCCTTACTTTAGGATTCAAGGAGTCTAAAGCAAAATGTTAGAGAATGATATTGGAGGAATAAAAATACTAATTTGTGTTTTATAAAAAGGAAGAATATGGCTGGGCTCAGTGGCTCACACCTGTAATCCCAGCAGTTTGGGAGGTGGAGGCAGGAGGATCGCGAGTTCAAAGCCAGCCTCAGCAATTTAGCGAGGCGCTGAGCAACTCAGTGAGACCCTGTCTCTAATAAAATACAAAATAGGGCTAGGAATGTGGCTCAGTGGTGGAGTGCCCCTGAGTTCAATCCCTGGTACGTCCCCCTCAAAAGGAAGAATATTATGTACTTTTGAATATTTCATGTCATTAACAAACCACTTAGACCCCGCTTTGCAGCTACTGAGTGGAAATCAGCTCTTGTACCCTGCGATGGCCATGAAAGTTCATGGCAGCCTCATCTTGGACCCAGAAGAATCCATAATTAAGGCCCCAAAGGACTAAGATAGTGCAAACATTTCATTTATGTTCCCTTTAGTTGTCCTGGGCCAAAAGGTCAAGATGTCTTATTTCTCCTTCTTTTCTCCTTCATTCCAACTTCCTGGTTCGATCCCATCACCTCTCCTGTGCTTGAGATAAAAAATGCCATTTCACTTTGGTTTGTTCGCAGCTACCTTGAGTCTTTTGTGTTTTGGAGGGAAGCAACTACAAGTTAAATCATTCTCTAGTCACTAATATCCATCAATTTTCACAATCAGGGTTGACAGATTTTTATTTTCTAAAACTCAGCTTCACCCACTTGGAACTAACGGTCTGAAAAAGCCAGATTGGGGACCATGTGTTGCCAAAGCAGAATTACTTTAGCTGGGATATGCTAGGCAAGTGCTCTACCACTAAGTCACAACCCCAGCCATATCTCTTGCTTTTAAGAAACAGCCAGGTTCATATTATTCTGACAATCATCTTTATGTAGGCAAAGCCAGGTGAAACTTACCTGTTGAAGAGCTTTGCCTTTGGCATAGAATGGACGTGATTTTGAGTCTAAGCTCTGCTGCTTCCTACCTGTGTAATCTTCAGCAAATTACTTGACCTAAAATTTAGTTTTCTCATTTATAAAATTTGTTAATTCATCTATGCATACATACTTGTTGAGCATGAACTGACATACATAGCATAAATGCTCACAAATATGATTGTGGCAGGGAAAGCTGATGCTCACCAAATCCATGTTCTCCCTCTCTTCTAGGCTCAGAGCTAGACTACATTTCCCAACTTCCCTTGCAGTAAGTGTGGTCATGTACTAGTTCAGCCAATAGAATTTGAGTAGAGAGGAGGTTCATAAACCCCACGTGTGATCTTCCACTTTCTTTCTCTCTGCTGGATTAGAATGAAGATGGCCCAGGGTGACCATGGAAACCCTGTGTTGGAGATGGCAGCTCTGCTGTCAGCCTGAGCCTCTGAAGGACTGTGGAGGAGGACATGCTAGTGGTTTGTTTACCTGCCCAGTACTATCATGTGAGTAAGAAATAAAACTCTGTGGTAATGAGTCATTTTCCATTTTGGGATCGGTTTGATAAAGCAAATAGTCTAATCAGACTAACAGTTATTACCATTATAAATTTGTATAAGGCTGCAATTTTATGAAGAAGTCAGCTTTTACCAGCTCATAAGAGCTAAAAATTTGCAGTAGTTTCATGAGCCATTCAATGTCGTATTTCTTGTTTAAAGGCAGCCATGATGGGAATGGTTACACCACAGATATTGCCAGATACTACAAACCAGACCCCCTTTTCCTCACTGGAACATTTATCAGCATACTACATACAGGGAATAGATCATTTTCCTTTTTTCATTGTTCCAAAGCTTGACAACCTAGCACATTTTATATTTGTGTGACCCAAATAGTGTTTGTGTCTATGAATCAGGATTAAACTTAAATAAATTATGAGAGGAAACATAAAAGGATAAAAGCTAATAGTTAGGATTAAATGAAATGTGGAGAAGGGGGAAGAACAGTCTAGTCTTTGCCCTTCTAAAATAAGAATATCTTGGGCTAGGGATATATTTTTATGTCTTGATTCTCTTTAGAAATTTCAGGTCTTCAACCTCCTTTACCTTCCCTACCTTGATTGGTTGTCACTGGTTTCTATCTGCAAGCACTCCATAATGACAAGTGCTGGTAAGGTGTCTTCATGCTCCTATATAGAGGCCCAAGCCAGCTGGGCTCTCCAGATAGCAGACCTTGAGTTGAAGAGCCAAATGCAAATTATTTATCTGGAATGTGATGCCAGGAAATGGCCTGAGGGAATAGGAAAGAAGGGGAGCAGGGAAGGGGAGGCAATCAATGAAAGAGATATTATCCAGCTGTGGGCAGCTGGAGGAATTGTCAGGCAATTTAGAACATGCATTTCAGACTCCAAAATGGGATAAGGGACATCTTTCAGTCATCGGTCAGTGTAGTGCCATATGCCTAAGACTCCTATAACCTCTTCAGACAACCAGACTCTCTCTGTTCTTTCACAACCTAACCCTAAAAATCTCCTTACTCTGCCAAGTCTTCCTTGGTTTATCAGAAGTGATTTAACTCCTTTATTCTGGACTTCCATGTATTTTCTTAGCAGGCCTTGACTGTGACTCCAATCACATATCATCCAGACTTCTGTATGCACCTAATTCCCTTTGGTACATTCTTGTAGAAGAAAAATTTAAATCACAATGTCAAAACTTAAATGAGGATCCTTCTGTCATAGTACAACATGATTATGATCATCTTGGGTTAAATATATGTTTTATTAGAATTTCTGCACTATGGTAGACACAAAAACTGGCCCTAGTGAATATGTTGTCCTACATGGCTAAAGGGACTTTGTAGATATGATTAAAGATTTTCCTGGATTATTCAGGTGGGCCCAATATGATCATAAGAGTTCTCATAAGAGGAAAGTAGAAGGGTCAGAGTCAGAGAAGGGGATATAACCACAGAAGCAGATCTAAGTAATGCAGAGCCATGAGAGAAAATGGGGGCAACTTCTAAAAGTTGGAAAAGGCAAAGAACAGATTATCCCCTAAATCCCACAGAAAGAATGCAGCTGTACCAATGCCTTTATATCAGTCTGTAAGGTCCATTCAGACTTCTTCCCCCTACAAATGTAAAAGAGTAAATTTATGTTGTTTTAAGCCACCAAGTTTGTGGTAATTTGTTGTGACAGCAATGTGAAACTAATACATGTTTAAGTTTTAAAAGTTATCTATTTTCAAATTGCTTTTTGGAGATCCAGCATAATTGTAATGTTTGACTCTCCTTTTTCAGTTGATTTCAGGAATCAACTTTGTGGATTAGCTGAAACCAAATCAGGGTTCCAAATCAAGGCTACTATCTGAAGTCCACTTTCATTATTGGCTGGAGGCTTCTCAGGGCATAAGCCCTCGCCTCACACATAGATAGGTAGGCTACATGGTGGGTTATTGCCCCAGGAAATTGGTTGTTGATGGCACCTGCAGATTATGGTTCAGTTATTCTAGATTAACTGCTGCCTTTGATTACCTGCACATTTTGTGTGTGTGTGTGTGTGTGTGTGTGTGTGTGTGTGTGTGTGTATAATCCTTCATCCAGATAATTAAAACTTCTCCTGAACATGCTGTGTTCTAGGGCACTTGAAGTCCTATGGTTTTACTCCTCTGTTTCTTGGGGAGTGCCTTTAAAGCACCAATAACTTTTGTGCTTGCCAAATCACTTGGCTAATTCATGAATGTGCTTCATTCTGGATAATAAAAGCGAATGTTTCCTGAACACTTCAGTATGCCAAACTCTAGGTTGAACACTTTTTATTTTCATTGCACTTTTGAATACTCACTCTGAGCCGCGTGCACTATGGCTCCCCACATTTTACAGATGAGGACATGAGGCTTGGAGAGGTTTTGTGGCTTGTAGATACTCCCATGGCTCAGGCATGGCAGAATTCTACCCAGAAGCCAAGCAGCTCAAACCCACACTTCTAATCAACAATGGTATTATTACACTCTTTTTGGAAATGACTAAAGTTATTTTCCCCCAGAATTAGAGCTGAAGTTAGCATCTTGCTTTAACTGGGAGTAAAAAAGGCCAAGAGTCAGGAAGCCAAAATGACTCCTTTATTAACTATTGCATTTTTCTCCTGGACACATGCTTGTGATGCATAAGAAGGACTCTGTGTGTGGTGGTCCTATGCTCCTTTCTATTTCAGGATACTGAACTTTACCTCCACCATGCAAAGAAGTGAAGATTAGGATTCTATTAATGTTTAGTGATCAAAATGGATTAAAAAGGGTTCTTGTTTATGTCCATTGGTGTCTCAGAGAAAAGGCCTAATTAATAAAAAAGTCAGTTACTATTTTTTTCTGCATTTCAGCTCCTGTAGTTCAGTTGTATTTCCCATCTGCTTTGCCTGTGGATGGCACTACCCTGCTGTTCAGTTGGTCTGATGGCTAGCTAGCCTTCAAATACTTGAGCGTTCCTTCCTTTTATATTAGAGGCCAAAATGCCAACACAGGGCTTCTTGGTGAGGGGTGATTTTTCTCCTCATGGGACATTTAGCAATATCTGTAGACATTTTTGTTTATCACAACCTGGGGGAGGATGCTACTGGTATCTAGAGTGTTGTATTAGTTTCCTGACATTGGTGTATACATCAAAATGCCACAAACTTGGTGGCCTAAATGAACAGAAATTTATCCTCTCACAGTTCTTGAGGTCAGAACTCTGAAATGGAGGTGCCAGCAGGGTTGATCCCTCTAGAGGCTCTCCAAGGGAGAGTCCTTTCCATTGTTCTCTCCTAGATTCTGGTGGCTGCTGCTATGGTTGGTATTTCATGGCTTGTGCCTACATCACTCCAGTCTCTGCCTCAGACTTTATATGGCATTCTTCTCTCTCTTTCATCTCAAATCTCCCTTTCCTTTCTCTTATAAGGACACCTGTCATTGGATTTAAGGCCTGCCCTGAACTAGGGTGAGCTCATTCTGAGATCCTTAATTTGATTACATCTGCAAAGACAAATGCTATTTCCAAATAAGGTCACATTCACAGATGCTGCAGGTTAGGACTTGGGCATATCTTTGAGGGAGATGCTACTTAACTTGCTACATGGATAGAGGCCAGGGATGCTGAGAAACACTCCACAATGCCCGGGACAGCTTTAAAACAAAGAGATTGAGAAACACTGCTCTGCCCTGAATGAAAAATTTTACTGAAGCAGAGAACACCTCTCCCCAAGAATCTAGCCCTTCAACCAGCCATGACACACAGTGCCACCCAGTGTAGGCTATGCAGCCAGTTGCCAAGTGGCACCTCCATGTTCTGCAGTGTGAACCATCATTTCCAATATGTGGAGGCCATTTGTGCCCAGTAGGTGGCATTCAAATACCCCATATAACTAAGCCTAGCAAGCAGATAGCACAAAGGGTAAAAGATTAATGCAACTTTCAGAAATGTGTGGATTCAGGTATATAAATCTATAATTTGCATCTCTCTCTTCAATGCAACTTAAGAATCTCTGGTTTCCTAATATAGATTCTCAAGATTTCTGCCTTCTGTATCCCCCTTGTGTACCTTAATGATTAGTCTATTTGGAGAAAGTGGGAATTTATACCAGGGTGTCCCAAAGTTTTCTATACAGAGCTAGATAATAAACATTATAGACTTTGTAGATCAAGAGGCAAAACTGAGAATATCATGTAGGTACTGATATAATAAGGGAGACAAATCCTGCCACACCCTGCCAGGGTGGCTGGTCCTGGGTGGTGGACTTTGTGCCCAGTTACCATTTGTTGCAGACTTTCTCAGGAGGAAGAGTGGCTGACCCTAATGTTGGAGCCTGGCTCTAAGGGTGACAGGGAGGCAGGTGGTGAGTGGGATTGGGGGAGGCTTGCTACCTTGATCAGTTTTCTCTTTACCTTTTGACACCCAGGTCCTGGTATACCCTTCTGTACTCCTGGAGAGCTGGGCCAATTGACTTTGTAGCTGGCCAGAAGGCTCCTAGACTGCTCTATGCTTAGCAGTTGTTAACAGCAGAGGCCTCAATGTGTAGATGTTGGCCAGAATAGCTCCGAAGTAGTAGCTACTGACCTGGGAGGCAGGTTCTGGAAGCAGAGGCAGAAATAGGAGTGGAGGATGGTGCCCTGGCTGGTATCCCAGCTCACAGTGCCAGTCTGTTCCTGAAATGTCTTCCAGCTACACAGACACAGGCTGTGGGCTGGATTTGGCCCACAGGCCAGATTGCCAGACCCTGGCTTGACCATATGACAAATACTCAATTAGTCCTTTTTGGATTCACAAACTGAATGTTTCATTTGTGAAAGCATAATGTCAAAAGCAGTGAGAACCATCTGATTCCCTTTTGTTAAGCCAGTCCCTGGGTTTTTATAGATAATATGTCAAGGTTTAGAAAAATGGGCACTGCAATTTCCCTTTGCAAATTAATAGACAGGCCAAAAGGTACATGGGATAAGGATGCTGAAAGAGATGTTTTTGCCTTTTGAGT